TGCCACCCCATTCCATCCCACCCCATTCCATCCCATCCCATTTCATTCCATCCCATTTCATCCCATTCCATTCCACCCCATTCCATTGCATTTCATTCCATATACTATTTTTTTCTATGATCTGACATTGTTTCATCTGTAGATGGGGTATTAATACAGTGAGCAATGAACTACTTCATAATCTCATACCTGGACCAGTTACAGTGGTATTACAAAGAACAAAGTTACTGAACTCTCAACTCAATCCCAATACAGATCTTGTTGGAATTCGCATACCAGATCATGATTTTATACGTCAAGTGGTTTCCAAACTTGGAGAACCACTGGCATTGACAAGTGCTAATATAAGCATATCTCAAAGTACACTTTGTATTCAGGTAATTATAATAGTTGAAACTAGAACATCAAAAAAACAAGTATGGGCTAAGAAACAGCTAGTATGAGTTAAATCTGACTGCTGGGACAACAAAATACATGTACCATCAAATTTATTGTTCATTCAAGATAACCTATTATCATATATTCATTTTGATATGTCATTTTTTTAAGTGACAAGCAGCGTCCTGGGACATTGTTCTCAATAAAAATGTACTAAAGTTCTTTCCCATTCGTGAACACAACTCAGTCTAGCTGATATGCAAACATATGAGATTAGCTTTAATCTTAACTCATAGTAGAGTGCAACTGAACACAACTAATAACATAACATAACATGACAGTATAGTTTATTATGTACTAAAGAATCCTTTGATATGAGATTCAAAGCAACACATATAAGGTAATTATAATACTGTCTCCACCACCCTTGTTTTCCATTACATAGCGTCCTATTTTGATTAATTGATGAACCTGCAAAATGTCAACACCGTCAAATATCTTAGGAAAAAAAATCGATTGAACTATTATTTGAACATAAACATTTTTTGAGGACTAATAAACCTTCTAAAAAATATGATTATAGAGATCTTGGATTTAACACCATATAACAATCTAACATGTTGTCTTAATGACTAGGCTTGGTATTTCAGCTACTTAACTCACATGGTGCAAACATTTATTCATGTCTACTCAACACACTTTATCTCAACAGTGACCCAAAATAACATTATTAAATAATAATATTTTTGTTTTTAATAGGAATTTCAAGTATTGTGGCCAAAATTAGATTTAATATTTGATGGTGGTGTATTAAGCAACTGTGAAGAATCCAGACTTGGATCAACTGTAGTAGACTTGTCAAA